ATGCACTCTTATTGATTGTGCTTGGCTGTACATGTACATATCCTTCAAGATGTATCATGGGGGTGTTGCAACCGGCCTTTCTCCTGCCAGAGCAATTTACTTGCTCTTCTTATCTTCACTAAATTCTACTACCACATCATCACGTGAGCAAAAGATCACCTGAGACAAAGAGATGATGATTTTCTATGTTAGGTAGAAAAGTCGATTCAAAAGATGATTAAGGTTCTTATGACTACGTTATACTACAGGTAATGTCTGAAGATTAGATTACAATAACTATGAAGTTGGTTTTGCCTGGTAATATTCCCATGACATCTTTAGAAATGATACGTGTGGCACTGATAAGCCTAAAGAGGACAAAGGTTTATGTCACAGGATGTTGAAACTTTCAAAAGACATTTTGACAAGGTTTTTCTTCTACTTTCTTGTTAGAACCAGTGTATGTCAAAATGAGGAATGAGAAAATCCACGAACAACATGAGATTAAAGAAGGGGAGAAACATTTTTTGCTTCAGGAGTTTTCTTTTTCTTTTTTTTTTAAAAGGTAACTACTCTCTAAGATCATTGGCATAAAGTTACTAAGATGCAATACTAATTCACATGGATTTGAAAAATAATGCAGTAATTTTTAGTTTCAGCTGTGCATTTCATGATAGTCAACAGGTGGCAGCATATACCATATTTAAACATTGTTCCAAAATCAATCTCCATAATAGTCTATGTGTTTCCTACTGCCAAAGGGGCCCTTTAGAGTAGTGAGAGAAGACCTTCACCCTGAAACCCACAGCGTCCCTTTTCAGCAGGAAGTAGCTAAGAGAATACGCCATCCTCTTTTCCTTATGAATCAGGGTGAAGTCTCTCTCAGGGAGGAGTGATAGGGAATGGCAAGGGACACACTGACAAAGGAGATTAACCAGAACTGGCTTTGATAAGCACTATGGCAATTGGACAATTAAAACAGACATTCGGGGGTGGGGGGGAAAGAAGAACGAACTGGGGAGAAGGGTGGAGAAAACAAGTGCAACAATGAATGAATGAAAACCCAAAGTCTCTATAAATGTTCATTAAAACGAATAAAATTTAATAATAATAAAAAAATGAAAAGAAAAAAAAAACCCATTGTTTCTGACCTGTAAAGATGACGGGCTCCAGAGAGTTTTGTCTATGAAGCAAACTTTGATAAATGGACTTCTATTTTATTATGTCAAGATTCCTTTGTCTTGAGGGCTGACTGGTTGGCAGTAAACAAGGAATTCTAAACGTGAAACGTTCTCTCTAGTTCTGTAAGCAGTTAATAAATTAAATCTTAAATGCTCCTGATACATCCTTTTCTTTTTTGAATCAGGCCTCACTTCTTATGCATTCCATCTGGTTCAGATATATTTGGATATGAGTACACTAATTGAAGGTAGGGTCACTCTCTGCTTTGCATTCTTTTAAGCAGGAAAAAAAGAAGTATGAATGTGTTCAGGGAAGAACAGAAAACAAGCTGGAAAGGAGGCCTACACAATTCAAGGTCATATCATCCACAATGGATCACTTGAGGGGTACTCGCTGACTCTCTATATAGTGCTTACTTGCTGACTGTACATGCTCTTCCATAGGTGGTTCATCTGCTCCCTGTACTGAAGCATATCCAGATGATGCAGTCTCACTGCGATTATCCTCTTCATGTGGAGAGACACTATTGGATGTTTCATTGGATACAGGGGCTTGCAAAGACAATGATCCATCTTCAACATCCACCTTTGGAAAAATAATTGAATGAATCAAAAGACAGAGAACATCTTTTTTAGTCACCACAGCATCACAAAGTTTCTTGAGAAGTGGCTTATTAGAACAAAGCTTCTTAATCTTTTTAAGCATATAATTCCTCTGGAAAAATTGTTGTAAAAGTCTACATAATAAAATATATGCCATTCCAACAATTCCTATGCATACAATTTGGCCTATGATCCATTTTGACAAATACAAAAATCTCTTCTTGGTGTCAGCCAGAGAAGTAAGAATAACTGGTTCCACCAATGAATGGGGTACATCTGATTCATTCATTTGGGGGATCCAGTATTTATTTTTAAATTATTTCTTGTCTTTTAAATTTAAAATGTAAAATAGGAACAATAATATTAGTGTCTTAAATTTGTTTAGGGTTTTAGAGCAGCATTTCAAATTAACAGAATACTGAAAAGTTAAGCAAATTATTTATCTGATAAAGAACTCACATAGATAATATATATGAAGAATTCGAAAATGTAACAATGAGAAGTAATGTGAAAAATAAAATATTTTTTAAAAGAGTAAAAAATGGACAAAGAACTCTTGAGAGGCAACAACAAGAAAACCCAAATTAAAAGTGGGCAAAAAAGATTAACAGACACCTATCCACAGAAAATCTACAAATAGCAAATAAGCTAAAGAAAAGATGCTATAATCTAAGTTATTAGCAAACTGCAAATGAAAACATGTCTCATACAAGGAAGGCACTAAAAAAAAACTGAAACCAAACCAACCAAATAAACAAACAAAAAAACCCCCAAACAACAAGTAAAAAACAAGTAAACAAACTAAACAAGTAAAAAACTAAAACCTTATACTGCCCCCTAGGAGAATTGAGAATCAATGTCATGTATATATTTCAAGTCAAGATTTTGTTGAGCTCAACTTTTGTTGTGTGTACTAAGAAAATAGAAAGCTATGGTGTCCTCGTGGTAAGAAGCTGTGCCGCAATCCCAAAGGCACACGGTTCAAGTCACCAACTGCACCACTGAGGAAGGACGGACAATCTACTTCCGTGCAATTAAGTGCCTGTGAAAATGTGCCAGAGCGTTAGCTATGGGTCGGTTCTGACTCGCCAGCACACAATTGTGAAAATACATGGTTTTTTCATTTATTAAATCCAATATTCTAATTTAGGGAGCTCTGGTGGTGTCTCCACAGAAAGTTGTGAGGCTAAACCAAAGGCGGCACCTCTCTGGAGGTTCAAATACACTTGTAACTCCTCAGGTGAAACATGAACAATCTCCTCCCACGTGACTGACAGCCTAGGAAACCCTGTGGTTTCAAGCTATGAGTTGATCTCGACTTGATGGTGACGAGTAAGAGTGAAGATGATAATTTAATATCTAGTATGTTTTTTTTCCAAACAGCACATGCTCATTTGACTTTGGGTTTTGTCTCTCTATGTAACAGAAACTAGAAACGAAGAAAAGGAAAATAAAAACAAGAAAGGGATCAGAAGCCAAGTTTATAATTTTAAAGTACTGATCAAACAATAAACACACTTGGGAGGACAAAGGAAAATGGAGTAGGCCCAAGATGGTCTCCATGACATACAGACTTCTGATTTAGGTATAAGGCTGGCACATTACATAGCTAAAAATAATGTTATTTTTCTAGAGGCCTAGGTGCACAGTGCTTAATTTCTTTCATATAAACAACAGTGTGGCAATATTTACCTCAATTCCCAAAGCTTTGAGTATGTCACATTTGCACATGGGGCAAGTTCTGTGTTCTAACAGCCATGGGTCAACACATGTCTTGTGGAAAATATGGCTAATTAAAGGGAAGAAAACCCACATAATTGAGTTATCAGTTATAAAACCATAACAACACTTTGCCCCAATACACTAACAAGTTACCCTGTGAATTTTCTTAGTCTTCTACTGGATGCCTTCCCTGCCCCAACCCCCGTTAAACTTTATTATAGAACTCACACTAAGAAAGGACAAAATTTGAAAATTTTGTAATACACTGCTCTGAAATAGCAAAGTCTCATCATTTTAGCTTCAAGAAATTATTTTTAGTGCTCATTACTTGAAAAATGACTAAGATGCTACCTGTCTTTGTTCACTATTTCAGATTTCAGTTCCTTGTCATTCCCCATCTGTAAAACGGTACAGTTAGTAATTGTCAATAATTGCTTGCTGTTGTTGTTATGTGCCATCGAGTTGCCTGTGACTCATAGTAACCCTATGTACAACAGCCCTAAACCCTGCTTTATCCTGTGCCAATCTTATTGTCTCCGACACATCTTCCCCCATTCCCTAGTGACAGAATCAATCCATTTCATTGAGGGTCTTCCTCTCCTGCGCTGTCCCTCCACCCTCCCAAGCATGAAGTCCCTCTTCAAGGACTGATCCCACCTTGCAATATGTCCATAATATGTCAGACACTGCTTCAGTATCCCTGCCTCTAAGGGGCAGCCTGGCTTCACCTTCTCCAGGACAAATTTGTTCTCTTAGCAGTCCATGATATATTCAATATTCTTCTTCAGCACCACAGCTCAAAGGCATCAACTCTCCTTCTATCACTACCCCTAGTCATTGTACATCTCTCTGATGCATAGCAAGTAATTGCAAAGACATGGCCTGTATCAGGAACACCTTAGTCTCCAGAATGACATCATTGCTCTTCAGTACTTTGGAGAGGTCTCTGACAGCTTACTTTCCTAATGCAATTCATCTTTTAATTTCCTGGCTGCTGGTACCAAAAGTGTCGATTGAAGAGCCAAGCAAATTGAAGCTGTCAACAATTTCAATCTCTTTACCATCTACCATGATGCTGCCAATCGGCCCAGTGGTGAGAATCTTTGTCTTCTTGATGTTGAGCTTCAATCTATATTGAAGGCTGCAGTCCTTGACCTGCAGCAAGCGCTTCAGGTCCTCCTCAGTTTCAGCAAGCAAGGTTGTGCATAAAGCAGATTGTTGATGAATCTTCCTCCAATCCTGATGCCACATTTCTCCTCATAGAGCCCAGCCTCCTGGATAATCTGTTCCACATATAGATTGAAAAGATATGGAGATAGGATACATCCTGGACGCACACCTTTCCCAATTTTGAACCATGCAGTGTTTCATTGCTTTGTTCTGAATGACTGCCTCCTGGCCCAAGTATAGGTTTTGCATAAGCACAATCAAATGTTCTGGGATTGCCATTCTTCTCAGAGTCAGTCACAGTTTGTTGTGATACACACAGTGAAATGCCTTTGCATAGTCAATGAAACACAGATAGACATTCCTGTGGTATGCTCTGCTTTCAGCCAAGATCCATCTGACATTAAATATAATATCCCTAGTGCCACGGCCTCTTCTAAATCCAGCCTGCACTTTAGGCAGTTTTCTATTGATGTGCTGTTCTTGTATTTTTTTATAATCTTCAGCAGAATCTTGCTTGCATGTGATATCTATGATACTGTTCGATAATTTCCGCACTCTGTCAGGTCACCTTTCTTTGGAATGGGAACAAATATAGATCTCTTCAAGTCAGTTGGCCAGGTTGTTATCATCCAGATTTCTTGGCACAACTTGGTGAGCACGTCCAGGGAAGCATCTGTTAGCTGAAATACGTCAATTGGCATGCTATCAATTCCTGGGACCTGTTTTTTGCCAATTCTTTCAGAGCAGCTTTAACTTCTTCCTTCATCACCACAAGCTCTCGCTCATACATTGTTTCATGAAATTCTTCTGTGTCCACCAATTCCTTTCGGTACTCTGTATACTCTTTGCACCTTCTTTTGATGCTTCTTGGATTATTTAATATTCTGCCCAAAGCATCCTTAAGTATTGCAACTCGAGGTTTAAATTTGTTCTTCAGTTCCTTGAGCTTAATTAAGAAATACTGAGCGAGTTTGGCCCTTTTGATTTTCTGACTCTAGTTCCCCGCACATTTCATTGTAATACTTTGTCTTCCTGTGCTGCCCTCTGCAATCTTCTGTTCAACTCCTTAATTAGTACAAAATAATACTGAGCTTAATATAGTACTGACATTTTAGGCAATGTGGAGCATTTCACAAACACCACTATTTAATAGTTAAAAATAATTGTGGACTAATAATGAAATCTAAAAGGTTTTAACTTTCAAATATTGTTGTTAGGTGCCATTGAGTCAAGTACGGCTCATAGCAACCCTATGAGCAACCAAGTCTCAAACCTGTCCTATCCTGTACCATCCCCATCATCTCTGACAGCCCGGCATCCATTGTTGTAGTCACTGTGTCAATTCATCTCATTAACGGTCTTCCTTTCTTTCACTGATCCTCCACCTTTCCAAGCATGATGTCCCTTTCCAAGTAACAGCCTCTCCTAGCAACATGTTCAAAGTATGTAAGATGAAGATTTGTCATTTTTGCCTTGCACTTTCTCTAAGACATATCTGTTTGTCCTTTTGGCAGTTCATGTGATATTCAGTACTCTCCCAACACCACAGTTCAAAGGCATCAATTCTTCTGTCATCCTTATTCATTTTCCAGCTCTGGGATGTATATAGCAAGTGACTGAAAATACCATGGCCTGAATCAGGCACACCTTAGTCTTCAAAGTGACTAGTAAAAAAAAAAAGAAAAGAAAACAAAAGAAAAGTAAAAAAAAAAGAAGAAAACAAAGTGACTTTCTTGTTCTTCAGGTATTGAGAGAGGTCTCTGACAGCAGACTTTCCCAGTGCCATACATCTCCTGATAGCCTGACTGCTGGTACCAAGGGTGATGACTGTGGACAACATCAATCTTTTCTCTATCTATCATGATATTGCCTATCACTCCAGTGGTGAGGATTTTTGTCTTTTTGATGTGGAGATGCAATGCATATTGAAGGCTGTAGTCTTTCACCTTCCGCAGCAAATGTTTCAAGTCCTTCTCATTTTCAGTAAGCAAGGTTGTGTCACCTGCATAGCACAAGTTATTGATGAGTCTCCCTCTGATCCTGATCTCACATTTTTCTTCATAGAGTCCAGCTTCCTGAATGATTTGCTCAGAATACAAACTGAATCGGTGTGGGTAAAGAATACAACCCTGACACACACCCTTTCTGCAGTGTTCCCTGGCTGTGTTTGGACAAGAGCTTCTTGGTCTAGGTACAGGTTTTGTATGAGTATAAGTCAGTGTTGGATTCCCTTTCTTCTCAATGCTAGCCATAATTTACTATGATCCACACAGCCAAATAATGACTTTGCATTGCCAATAAAACAAACTACTTTTTGTATTCTTTGCTGCCAGCTAGGGTCTGTCTGATATCAATAACATCCCTGTTACCAAGAACTCTTTTAAATCCAACTTGACTTTATGGCAGTTCTCTCTCAATGTACTGTTCTAACCATTTTTTTATGATCTTCAGAAATATTTTGCTTGTATGTAATTTTAATAAAATTGTTCAATAACTTGGACAGTAGGATCACCTTTCCTAGGAATGGGAACAAATATAGATTTCTTCTACTCAGTTGACCAAGTAGTTGCCCTCCCAATTTCCTAGCACAAACTGGCATGTCCAGGCTTGCACATGTTAGCTGAAACATGTCAACTGATATCCCATTGATTCTTGAGGCCTTATCTTTTGCCACTGCCCTTCAGTGCATTTTGAACTTCTTCCTTTGTTACCATTTGCTCTTGTTCATATGGTACTTCCTGAAATTTTTCAGAGTAAATTCTTTTTGATAACAGTGACTCTGGGCATCCCTTCCATCATCATCTTTTTTTCAATTCTTCTTCTCATTCATGTGTTTTGAAAACTAATTATTATTCTTTATTTCCATCTTATTTTGACACTTCCTGGATCATTCAGGATTTTGCCTATGGTATCTCTCAGTATTGCAACTCAGTGCTTGAATTTAATTTTTAAATCTTTCAGCTTGGGAAATGTCAAATTAATTCTTCACTTTGTATTCTCCAGCTCCAATTCTTTGCACATTCCATTATAATGCTTTGCTTTGTCTTCTTAAGCTGACCTTTGAAATTTTCTTTTACTTCTGCATTTCTTTCCTTTGATTTAGCTTCTTGATACTCTTTTCTTTCTCCTCTGTCTTGATAAGAACCTTTTGCTTTCTTCATTGATTCTCTTTTCTTTCTCCTCTGTCTTTATAAGAACGTTTTGCTCTCTTCATGGATCATTGCTTTGGTGTCATAGTATGATTCATTTGGTCTAACTTTCAAATAGGTCTTAGCAAATTTATTTTAGTCTCAAAAGGATTGTTAATCTGAATGAATTAAAAATGAAACAATCCAGTACTATTTTACTATAGACATAAAATTGTTGGTTAGGTTTTCCATGTTGTATGAAATAGTAAAGAACAAATTGCCAGATTATGAAAACTTTATACAATTATAGCAATTTCAGCATTAATAACAAAAATCAAGGCATCCTTCTATATTTAAATGATGTTAAAATAAATAGTTTTATTACATTAATTTATAAACATTCAACATAGTTTTCTCTCATCACAACCATATTTACAGATCTCTTATTCTTATTGATGATGTGAAAGAAAAGTGAACTTACTTGCAGGTTAAGATTCGCACCAAATCATTTGGTTTATACAGTTCAATACACACAGCACAACTATCTCCATCAGGGCCTATTTCCTGTGAATAAAGAATAAGAAAAAGATTTTAAATATCTGAAGATAATTGAATATTCCTGTAATGAACTAGGATGAATTATATTCATCCTTTATAAACACCAGCTCTGGTGGCTTAGTGGTATATAGCTGTGCTGCAAGCCTAAAGGCATGCTGCTCAACTCCACCAACTGCTCTGTTAGAGAAAAATGTTCAGTGCCTTCTTGTGTGATTTACTGCCTTTGAAAACCTGATGGCACAAAATAACAACAACAACAACTACAATTGTTATAAAAGTTGAATATCAAAACAACTATGAGATATCATCTCACCCCAGCAAGAATAGCAAAGTTCAACAGGGCAGCAAACAAAAAATGTTGGCAAGGTTGTAGAGAGCTTTGAAGGCTTATTCACTGCTGGTGGGAATGTAAAATAGTACAACCACTATGGAAGGCAGTCTGGTGCTTTCTCAGAAAATTAGAAATAGAAATATCATTTGACCCAGCAATGCCACTAGTAGTAATATACCCTAAAGAAATCAGAGCTGCTACCCAAACAAATGTATGCACACCCATATTTACTGCTGCATTCTTGACAATAGCAAAGAGATGGAAGCAACCCAAGTGTCCATCAACAAATGAATGGATAGAAAAACTATGGTATATTCATATAATGGAATACTAGATAGCACTGAAAAACAAGGAACTCATAAAATGTTACATAGCATGGGTGACTCTGGAGGAGATTATGGTGAGTGAAATATCTCAGTCACAAAAGGACAAATACTGCATGACACCTCTGTTATAGAAACAGGACTAACATGGGGGTTGGGGAGAAACTGAGAAAAGAGGGAATAAATAATGAACACTGTATTAGAGCAGATGAAGGAAAGAACTGTTTAAAAGGAATATATGAGTATGTATTATCTGTATGACAACAGTCTAGAATAATATGTGCATAGCAAATTGGACTGGGGGAGGGAGGGAAGAGGTTGTAAAACAACGAATGAATATTTTTTAAGTGAACTGAGGGGGTAGGGAGGTAAACATGCAACAATGAATGAATGAAAATCCAACTTTTCTGTAAACTTTAATTATAATCACAATAAAAAAATTGAGAAATAAAAAAAAACATGCAAAAAAAGTTAAAGATTTCCCCCCCCAAAAAAAATGTTAACAACTACTAAGTGGCTGGTAGTGTAGCATGTAGGTAGTTGTGCTGCTAATCCATAGTTGTCACTTCTCTGGAAGTTTGAATCGACTATGGAGAAAGGTGGGAAATTTCTTCCTGTGTCATTTACAGACTCGGGAAAACTTTCTGGATGGTCAACTATGAGCTGGTTCGGATACAATGGCAATGAGTTTGAGGTTTTGTTTTTATTTTTTTAAGTGACGATACAACTCTAAGTTATCAAGAAACCATTCAAAAGTATTCTCATTTTAAAAAGACAAAAGAAAACAAAAGGGGAACATAGGAAAGTGAAATATTAACATTGAACTAATATTTTTTCTGATTCTACAATTCACAAAATGCCACAGGTACAACTAAATCTTAAGCTGTGGTCAAATCACCCTCTGTTGCTTTCGTAAGGTCCACTCCGACAATCTAGGAAAATCTCCCTATCTCAAGATCCTTAATTTTTTTCACATCTACAAAGACTCTTTTGCCATTTAAGGTAACTCAACGTCCAGGGATTTTTGTTGTTATGTGCTGTCAAGTTGAGTCTGACTCATAGAGATCCTATGAACAACAGATACTAATCCTGTCCTATACTGTGCCATTCTCATCACCTCTAACATACATGAGACCATTGTTGCAGTCACTGTGTCAAATCCATCTTGATGGGAGTCTTCCTCTCCTTTGTTGACGCTCAACCTTTCAAAGAATGATGCCCCTTTTCCAAGGAATAGCCCTTCCAAACAACATGTCTGAAGTATGGGTTTTAAAACTTTGCTATCCTTGATTCTAAGGAGCACTCTGGCTGCACTGTCTGTAAAATATATCAGTTTGTTCTTTTCGCAGTCCACAGGATAATCAGTATTCTTCTCTAACACCACAGCTTATAGGCATCAATTTTTCTTCCAACATCCTTTAACACTGTCCAGCTCTCAGGTGCGTAACAAGTGATTGAAAAGACCATGGCCTGAACTGGGTGCACCTTTAGTTTAAAAACTGACATTGCTCCTTAAATTTTAGAGAGGTCCTTGACTTCAGGCTTTCCCAATGTACCACATCCAGGGGTTAGGGTCTGGCTATCTTTGGGAAGTCATTATTCAGTCTACCAGTAGTATCAACTTCATGAAACAACAAGATTTAGAAATGACAACAAAAAGCATATTTTCCCTAGTAGCAAGAAGCTGTGCTGCAATCCCAAAGGTGCGTGGTTCGAATCTACCAGGGCAATCTCCTCCTGTGCCAGTCAGATCTGACTTGATGGTACATAACAACAAAAGATTAAAAAAATTTTAAAAAAGCATATTTTGCAGTGATATTAAGATTGAACAGAAGCCAAGTAGTATTGCTTTAGAACACATATACCTTATCTCCTTGTTTCAGTGTGCGAAGCTGAAGTCTTCCAATAGCTTTTTTTGCATCTGCCTTTAATTGTCTCTGTAATAATAATAAAAAAGGAATTAGAAAAAGCATCTCTTGAAAAATTAAGACATAAAAAGCTACAGAGAACTATGAAATATTTTTCCTGTAAACCTATACTCATCACTGTCAAGTCAGAATTGACTGACAGCTGAGCCTCCAGCAGGCTTTCTGGGAGCTGAAAATTGCAGGAGAGTGCCCATTTTTCTCTCACAGAGTTGCTGGTGGATTCAAATAGCCTGAGAGGTGCCACCTTTGTGATTAGCAGCACTACTTTCTAGAGACTACACCACCAGAGTTTCCTTTCAATGCAAAAGTCAGTAAGTAACTGTTAAAATTAATTTTTAAAATTACAATTTCCCATAATATCCCATTTATGGTGACATGAGGGAGAATTTTAAGATTACTACATTTTACTTACCTTTCAGATTTTTCAGAAAGTAATTTTTATTTATAAAATTATTTGTAATTTTGGATTACTTACTACTTTTCACTTACAAATCTCCCTACCTCCTCCTCCCTTTAAACCCATTTTATTTGAGTGAAAGTTTACAAATCACATTAGTTTTCTCCAGATAATAATTCATAGGCTTTAACTTTTTTATTGTTAGGTGCTATTGAGTACAATCCATAGTGGCCCTATGAACAATAGATCCTGTACTGTGCCATGTTCACATTTCCTGACACATCAGAGCCCATAGCAGCAGTCACTGTGTCAGTCTATATGGGTTAATCCTAACCCTAACCCTAATCCATATGTGGAAACTGAAGAAGACACTGGGCTTCCCACCTGGGTGGATGTTGAATGGAATATAGTATGTGCAGTATGGTCAGATGATAAGCAGTCTTCCTATTTTGAACGAAAATGATTTAATTTAACAGAACTTGCACAAAATTCAGGTGCTCAGAACCAGAGATGATCACAAGAATATCAACAGCTTCTTTGTGCCCCTAAAAGTCTTCCTCATCTCCAGCAAGTAGACCTCTTTCATCTGGCATCTAGGTTGAAAATTAGTGATAATGTGAAGTATCTAAGACAACATCTGGCATATGGCAGACATGCATTTATCACTCATCATAAGTAACAGACTTAAAAGTAACACATGGTTCTGACTCATGGTGACCCTCCCTCGGGTTGCTGGGGCTATAACCCCCCCCTTTCTAGTGCCTGAAGCACTTGCTTCAGAAAGTCAAGGACTGCAAAATTCAATATGGATTGAAGCTCAACATCAAGAAGACAAAGATTCTCACCACTGGACCAATTGACAGCATCAGTATGGCTGGTGAAGAGATTGAGATAGTTAACAGTTTTAGTTTACTTGGCTCCACAATCAACACTCTTGGTACCGGCAGCCAGGAAGTAAAAAGACAAATTGCATTGGGAAAGCCTGCTTTCAGGAACATCTACAGAATATTGAAGAGCAACGATGCCAGTCTGGAGACTAAGGTGCACCTGATCCAGGACACGGTCTTTGTAACTATGTGCTATGCATCAGAGAGCTGGACAATGACTAGGGATGACAGAAGGAGAGTTGATGCCTTTGAGCTGTAGTGCTGGAGAAGAGTGTTGAATATACCATGGACTGTCAGAAGAACAAACAGGTTCATCCTGGAGAAGGGCCTGAAACCAGGCTGCTTCTTGGAGGCAAGGATTCTGAGTCTTCATCTGACATACTTTTGACATCTTGCAAGGAGGGACCAATCTTTGGAGAGGGCATCATGCTTAGAAGGGTAGAAGGACAGCACAAGAGAGGAAGACTCTTTTTTTTTTTTTATTATTTTGTGTGCGTGTACCGTCAAATCAGATCTGACTGGTACAGGAGGATATTGCGCCTCCTTCTCCGGCAGAGCATCTGGTGGATTCGAACCGCGTTCCTCTGGGATTGCAGTGCAGCTTCTTGCCACTAGGCCACCAGAGCTCCCCTGAGAGGAAGACTCTTGATGAGATGGATTGATTCAGTGACTGGGGTAAAAGGGGTAGATGTGTCAGAGACAGTGAGATTGGCTCAGGATAGAGCAGGGTTCAAAGCAGTTGTACATAGGGTCTCTATGACTCACAGGTGACTTGATGGCACTCAACAACAATTGTGATTTGAGGGAGCACTGGTGGCCTAGTGGTAAGAAATTGCTCTGCAATCCTGAAAGCACGCAGTTTGAATATGCCAGCTGCTCCACGGGAGAAGGATGGACAATCTCTTCTCATATGATTAACTGCCTCTGAAAACACACTAGAGGATCAGCTATGGGTCAGATCTGAATCAATGGTACACAACCACCACCACCACCACAACAACAACTGTGATTTGAGTGAAAGTTTATAAAGCTAAGTAATTCTGGTTACACATTTTGTTTTATAACATTAATTACAATATCCACAATGTAACTGCATTCTTCCCACCTCCTGTAACCGTCTTTCCCATTAATTCTTCAATCCTGGCCCTTTCTACTCTTTGGGCTTTATCCTTGGAAATTGTTGCTCTTTTGAATTTACCTGAGTAGTTAATCTAAGGAGTGAGTATCTCCCTGATGTTATGGCTCATCTTATAGAATTATCTATTGTTTAGGTGAAAGTTGAACCACAGGGACAAGTTTTTGTTCCAGGTTCACAGGGTAACTAAGTGAGCTCTGGTGGCCTAGTGTAAGAAGCTACTCTCTAATTCCAAAGGCACACAGTTCAAATCCTCCAGCTGCTCTGTGGGAGAAAGATGGGGAATCTCTTTCTGTGTGATTTTGATGTTGTTGAGTTCCATTGAGTTTGAAATGAGCCATAGCTGACCCTCCAGAGGGTTTTCAGAGGCAGTTAATTGCTTGGGAAGAGAATGCCCATCCTCCCACAGAGTAGCTGGTGGCCTCGAACCATGTGCTTTTGGGATTGCAGTGCAGATTCTTACCACTAGGCAACCAGAGCCTCAGAAAACTCACTGGGGTGGGGGGTGGGGGGCGGTCAGATAATACATTGGTTCCAACTCAGAAACAGTAACAACAAGGGTCATATAGACTTGGGAGTTCTATCAGAAAACCTGGCCATTTTTATATTTTTTTTTAATTTGGTTTCACATTTCCCCCCACTCTACCCAAGATTTTCTATTGTGATATCTTTTAGAGCAGTCATTGGTAGTCTTCATAATCTTCACTATTCCACATCTATCTCCTGAGGAACAACTGGTAGATCTGAACTGTTGACCTTTTGACTAGCAGCCCAACATGCCACACACACCAAGCTGTCAGGGCTCCTTATCATATTGATAGCAAATATATTTTGTGAAGAATATATGATATAGCTATGTAAGGTATCTCTTTAATGCCTAAAAATGTCTCCTGTATAATTTCAAGAATGGTATTTGACCTATTGCCTATGGAATTACTAGTCAAATGACTTCTTTGCTATTCCAAGAAGAACAGAAATTTCCAGCAAATAAAGCTCAAAAGAAATAGGCCTAGATCCTATGAAGTAGAAAGGTAGCAATCAAGGTGACTTCAATGTTCTTTGACGACTTATCTGAGTACAAATAATTTCTTTTTAGCAGTTTTTCTCAATTTTGTATCATAAGTAAACAGGGCAATGACAGTCAATGGAAGTACATTTATAATCTTTATACCTAAGAGAGATTTTAGAGTTTGTACTCGACAGCAACTAACAATGATAACAACATATAAGATATGCATTGATATGTCTTCTAGTTTAAAAAAATTTGAATCCTCACAATAACCTGCTACAGGAGGTAATATTCTCTTTTTTAAGATGAGAAAATAGGACTAAAACCAAGGACTATAAACTTCATTAAAGAAAAGCTTGGAAGAACTCTAGAAGTCCTAATCCACAACATAAACAGTCTTCCAAGTATCCTGAAAAATTTACAGCCAGGAGAAGATAAAATAGATGAATGGGACCTTCTAAGAATCAAATCCCTATGCACATCTAAAAACTTCTCCAACAGGGTAAAAAGGGAAGCCACAGACTGGGAAAAAGTATTTGGTAATGACATGTCAGATAAGGGTCTAGAATTTATAAAATACCCGAGCAGCACAACAAGATAAGGGTAAATAATACAACTGAAAAATGGGCACAGGATATGATCAGACACTTTACCAAAGAAGACATTCAGATGACCAACAAGCACATGAAGAAATGTTCAAAATCCCTAGCTCTAAGAGAGATGCAAATCAAAACTACTATGAGATAACATCTTACCCCAGTAAGAATAGCAAAATTTAACAGAACAGCAAGCAACAAATCCTGGCAAGGTTGTGGAGAAACTGGAACCCTTATTCACTGTTGGTGGAAGTGTAAAATGGTGCAACCACCATGGAAGGTGGTGTGGTGCTTTCTCAAAAAGTTGGAACTAGAAATACCATTTGACCTAGCAATTCCACTAGATATATGCACACCCTGTTTATTACAGCTTTGCTCACAATAGCAAGGGACTAGAAACAACCTAAGTGCCCATCAACAAAGAGTGGATAGAGAAGCTGTGGTATATTCACAAAAAGGTATACTATGCTGCATTGGAAAACAAGGAACTCATGCAATGTTATTCAAAATGGGTGACCCTGGAGGACATGATGCTGATTGAAGTATCTCAGTCACAAAAGGACAAATACTGCATGGTGCCAGTGTTGTAGAATGGGTCTGACATCAGGGTTGGGGGGGAGACTGAGAAAGATGGGATAAATGTTTACTGAATTGAAACAGATGAGGGAGAAAACTGTGTAAAAAGGATATGTGATTATGTATTTCTGTCATGATAGGAATCCAGAATGAAAGGTGCATAGTGGAGTGGACCTGGGTGGGGGTGGGGTGGCAGATTGTAAAACAACGAAAGAATTTTTCTTTTACTTTTCAAAGAGAAGAGTGTACTGGGGGATGGGTGGGCAGGGAGAAAGGTGCAACAATGAATGAATGTAAATCCAAAGTCTTTGTAGATTTTCATTGAATTAATAATAAAAATATTAAGAAAAAAAAAAGAGAAAATAGAGGTTTGGAAAAGTTAAATCACTTGTCCAAAAGATGGAATAGA